TTTTGACTGTACTTCATGCTATTAATGTGCTTTGAAAATTCCACATAATTTTATTATATTGACATTTTATTATTTATATACAATAATTTAATTAGCATTTTATTATTTATATACAATAATTTAATTAGCATTTTGTATGTCCTGAAATTTTAATTTAATATCAGAATGGCTACCAAAAATGGATCAAAAAAATTCTGACTTTTCCAGGTTTTTAAACCGAGAATTCGGATTTTTCCCTGACTATCTACTTTCATCTGCATTTTTCAGAAACCAAAATATCAGGCTATGTTTTACAGTGTAACATACATGTAACAATTATAAAGAATGAAATTTCAATAAATAAAGCACCAATAAATTTTTCTTATTCTAAAACTCATAGTTTTGTCTTTATCACTTACTAAAGTAACAGAAAGAGAAATATACTACTATTTATCAGAGTCAAACAAACAAATAAAATTTAGGGAGTGAATTGGGTGGAATTGGTGCAACATTTGGTAATAATTCTAACAATGAGTTTAAAATCCTATTTATATAATGTTTTATAATTTACAGTTAGTCAACAAATATTTATAACAAACTACTTTGGTATAAATATCCTCCATTATAGAATGTTTGTGCAATGTTCTTTTTCTACAAGAAAGTTGGAAACCTATCTCTATTAATCATAGACTACAAAAGATATTCTCCATTTAAAGCTATTATGATTCTTTTAAAATCAGTTAATTCTTTCATAATCAATTCAATTCAAAATCATTCTTTCATAATTTTGTGTGTTCAGTTCTTTAAAACACTTTCAAGTAAAGCACCAATGTGGTAGTTCGTTGTGAGAGACGTATACAAATCTGCAAACGAAAAGTTACAAAAAGAAAGATACAAAATTCAATTATATCACACAGTATTCTTTATTCTCTCTGAACTGGTTCTTTTCCTTTCTTTTTTTCAGAAACCAACTTTACAAACTTTATGCCTTTCTTCTATACACAAAGAAAAAGGAACAGGCTTGCCCTCTACTATTGCCTGGGTTCGTACACGGGACAACTGTCAAAATAACAAAAAAAAACTAATTATATAACTAACTTACGTCTAACTTATATCTATCTTATAACTAATGAAAAATAAGAGTACAGGACAGATGGATACGGAAACAAAATGTAGGGAGAATGGAAATAACCAGGATTTATTTTGGTACGTATATATGCTTTCGGATTATGGCGCCAACTTGATATCTTTCGCTCTAAAGTCTATACAGCTACTTCTCAATATCGAAAAATTGTTGTCTTCCGTTGGATTATTCGTTGTCCTTACGGCCTTTTTTCCGAAGCCATCTCTTTTCTTTCTTGCCAATCCTTAACCTTAACTTCAGGTCACGAGCTCTCGCTTTTCCCCTCTGCTTTCTTCGGGATCTTAACCCAGAATGACTCGTTTTTTTGTCCATTTTGCGCCAGGGCCCCACTTCCTCTTTTGTTCTTATTTACATGGAAAAGATAATCCTACCCCAGGGGCAAAAGGGGTAGATAAGAAGGTCTTAGAAGGAACAAAGAAACAGGAAGGAAGGCTAGGATTAAATCAAAAATAAAATATANAAACATTCGTGTTGACAAGATCTGATGGAATATAAACAACAGTTCCCTCTTGGAAAGATCAATCTCACCACATAGTCCTTTAATAATTTTTATTTATGAAAGATTAATTGTTTAATAAATGTATTGATAATTTTTAAAATTTGATGAAAGTTGATTTGAAGTACAGGCAGCCCTCGACTTTCACACATAATTGGTTTCTGAAAGTGTGCGCGAATGTTGAATGTTTGAAAGTAGAGGAATGTAAAAAAATATGCACCAAAAACTGTGTTTTAAAGTATTTATTTATCAATATGTATAGGCTACATAATAAAGTTAATGAGGCGTGTTTAAGTGCTTTCAGATGTTTTCTTTATAAACTTGTCAAGAGTTAATTGAATACCACCCTTTTTTTCTTTTCTTGATAAAGATTTCTATAACATGCTATGTCTTTCTCAATCGCCCTACATACCTGAGATATACGTTCTCCATTGGGATCACATTCTTCCATGATAGTCAAAAATTTGTCAAGATGCATGAAGGCTTTATTCATATTTTTAATTGTCAAAGTCTTGACATTTTTATCAGCTGCTTCTTCCTCATTTTCATTGTGTATTTCATTGTTGCTCAATGTTCATTTGACAGAGGTACTGAGTGAGATTCAATCAACCCATTAACATCATTGTTGACATCCAAGTTTAGTTCATTCATTAGGCTAACTATTTCATTTGTGATAGTTTCTGGTGTTTCTTCAAAATTTATAAAATCACTCATCATTTATGGTCATAATTGTTTCCAGGAACCTTTCATTGTCAACTCTTTTATTTCAGCCCATAAGTCTCCAACATTGTTTACTGCGTTCCATATATTCTAGTTCTTCAAAACATCTGATAATTTTGGCCCATCTTCCCTGTCAGTTGCCTTGATGGTCTTATTGTCCTCATATAATATTGTTTAAATGTAGCTATCACTGTTTGGTCCATGGGCTGTATGAGGCAGGTAGTATTGGGAGGAAGAAACCCAACATTGATTTCTTGGTATAAATTCTGCAGAGATTTTGGATGTCCTGAAGCATTGTCTAAGATTAATAATGCTTTAAATTGTAAATTATTATTTTTACAATATTGCTTAACTGTCAGCACAAAATGAAAAGTGAACCAATCTTTAAATATTAACGCAGTAACCCAGGCATTTTTATTTATTTTCCAAATGACTGGAAGCAATCCTTTATCTTTCCCTTTCAAAGCTCTGGGATTTTCCGTTGATAAACTAACACAATGGCTTCAATTTTAAATCACCAGCTAAGTTTCCACCAAGAAGCAATGTCAATTGGTTTTTAGAAGATTTTATGTCCAGAGGCAACTGATTCTTCCTTTGATAAAAATGTACAATTAGGCATTTTTTTTCAAAATAAACCCGTCTCATCTACATTGAATATTTGGCTAGGAGAATATTCTCCATCTACAATAATTTTGGACAATGAGGAAATAAATTCTTTCACAGCATCTTTATCTGCATCAGCCGATTCTCCAGCGAATTTAATACAGTAAGCCTCGAAAACTCGGCACTCGATAACCCAGCACTCCGGATAACTCGGCCACACCTTGGTAGGGCAAAAAAATCCCTAGTTAATTAATTTTCATTATAGACAGCTTTATAAAAGTATAAAAGCTCTCATAAAGTATTTTTCTGAGGTCTGTCTTATCAGGTAAATTACTGTACACAGTTTATTCATAAATTTTTATTTTCATGTAGTAAGGCTCTATGCCTTCATAAAGGACTTACTTTTCCTTTTTTAAGGGTATTTGGGCAGTTTATTCTCTGTTGTATTCTCAAGCAAACAATACATACAAGTACAGTACATTTTCTTTGTTTAAGGGTATTTGGGCAGTTTAATCTCTGTTGTATTCTCAAGCAAACAATACATACAAGTACAGTACAATATTTTCTGAGGAAACAGGCATACTTATCCTTTTTTAACGCCATTCCCGATAACCCGGCATTTTCACAAACTCGGCCACCCTTCAGTCCACATTAGGCCGAGTTTTCGAGGCTCTACTGTATTATGTAAAGAATATCTCATTTTAAATTTGTTGAACCAGCCATTAATTGCTTGAAATACCATGTTAGAATCTTCATTTAATCTAGTCTTCCAATCTTCATGAAAACTAAGAGCTTTAGCTTGAATAATTGAAAAACTCAGAGGGATATTATTTTGATCAATTCATGATGACAAAGATCTTTCCATTTCATCCATCACTATGCCATGTCTTTTGGAAACAATATTTGAAGATATATTTCCACAATTTTGAACATATTCCTTAATTTTACTCTTATTTTTCAAAATTGAACATATCATAGATCTGTTTACATCATACAAACATCTGATTGAAGCAAAAGATTCACCATTTTCAAAACGTTTAATTATTTCCATCTTTATCTTGATTGTATGAAGTTTATGAGTCCTTAATTTCTTTTTGTTTGTATCAACACTGCAGTTTCTCCATTTCTCACTCATGTTTATTGATTTATAAGGATGAAATATTTAAATATAAATAAATAAATTGGCAAAATACACAACACGTTGATGCACGCCCTAATGCAAAACTGAAACTGTTTTGACCTCTTGCTCGGAACAACACAGTAGTGATTACAATTCCGAGAAGTCCACTATTGTAGGAAGTAATGTGTGTCCGAGAATGTAGAGCAAGCTACCACACTTTGTAGTGTATGAGCATTCTGCATGGAAGCAAATTTTCTCATTATCGACAAAAATATTTAAAAAGTTGAATTTTTAAAAATGTACAAAATAGCAAATTGTGCAAAAGTCGAGGACTGCCTGTGTTTGAAAAATTACTTTTTGTTATAAAAAATAATTCCTAAATATTGTCAACAATTTTATTTATGTAATAGGTATTTTTAGTAATTATAATGAAGCAACAAACTTCAAATTTTCCACATAGCAATCAGAGACTAAAATAGATTTAAAATATGAGTTTCATTCTAACGCCAAAAATTAAATAAATAATATCAGTTTTGATTCTATTGCTTTGTTCAGCAGTAGATTAATGATTTACTTGTAAATTGTAGATTAATAATAAGTCATTTATTTTCACAGCATATTTGTTTAATATAAGTAATGGAGTATGAATAGCCATTTAATAAATGTCGGAAAGATTAGGAAATTTCTTTTGAATCTTAGATTTTGGACCACCTGGATACACAGTTCGATGACATCATAACATTTGTCCAATCAGATTATATGACGTAAAAAGATGAAAGAATTTGTAAAGCTTTCGTTTTATTCTTTCCTTTTGTTCTGTGTAAGATGTACTGATTCTGTGGTTGTATTAAAGCTATTCTTTGTCAAAAACAAAAATTCACTATACCTTTAAAATGCAGTCTAGTTTACATCTGTCGAACGTTTTCGGTCTGATTCACAAACCTTCATCAGGATCGAATTATCAATCGAAATATATTTCAAATTTGCATAACGGAGATTCCAAACTGCANTGGGAACATTCAATAAAATTAATATTTCTGTGTCAGGAAACTGAATTCCATCAAACTATATTAGAGGTAAATCAACTAATTATTTTATAGTAATTTCATATTATATCATGTTTTAAATAAAAAATACTTCACGCAACAGCTGCATAGGAAAATTGTTTGCTAGATCACTAGAATAATATTCTTCTAAATAATTGCTGATTTCATTAAATCATATAGTTAGCAAATCAAAAGATTTTAGATTGCAAAAAAGTTAAATAGTTGGAAATTATGACGTCTACAGAACTTTTGTTAACTTGCCTATTTATAATATCTATGTTTTATAAAATATGTTTATTTTTAAAAATTGTTAGTCACTATAAAATAATACATCTTGTTCTTTGAAATAACATTTGGATATAGTTTATAATTCTTCAGAAAAACTTGCAGATATGTCCCATTTTTAACATACAGGCATAGTTTTGTCTTTTAAATCATTGTAATATAATTTAAAATCTTTGAAATGCAATTTTTCTGTGACCTATAATTTTGAGTCTCCTGAAAAATTTTTGAGATCTTTATCTAATGGTCTTTACTTGATAGTACGATAGGTAACTTCTAAAATATTAATGTTCAGTTTTAAAACATCCAAGTAGTGAGGATTACCTAAATCTCTTGGGTCCCCTGCATTGCAAGGTTCTGAAGATCCTACTTATACTATTTCCTCAAAAGTAAAATTCAATGTAAATTGCTTTTCTGGAGTATGTTCTTTTCTTCTGTTCCATAAAAAACAAGTTGGAGTGAATTTATTGTTAATTTTATAAAAGTCATCAGTTAAAGAAAATTATGCAGAAAAAATTATCATTAAAGTTAGGTACAAGCTGTAGTAATAGTCAATGTAAAAAAAGCAAGTTGCTTTAATGTTCCTATTATTTGTAATTTATTAAAATGCTTTTTATATATCATTGCACTATCATACAACAGTATGTTCTGCCAGTATATGATACTTTATGCATTATATTGCAAGTATTATTGTTTTTGCTCAACTTCAGTGTAACAATGCTCACACTCAGCAACATAGTTAACTTGACAAGTATATATGACAGACCAGTCAAATTTATAAAGATTTATATCTTTTAATCACACTACATGAAATATTATATGAATTATTATTATATTATAAAAAATTTATATAGCTGAAAAATTTCTACAAAAACCATAAATTCTTGTTACAGCTTTTATTTAATATTTGACATTGATGAAATAAATGAATTATGATATTACCATTTTGGCAGAAATATAATGGCAGAAATATTTTTCACTTGATATTTTTAGAAATAATTTTTTCTGTACAATTCTCTTCTCTGTAGCCATCTCCATAGCCATTTATAAAATTTTTCAGTTTTGAAAAAATTCTAGTAAATAATTTTTTGAAGTATCTGAACAGNACTGTAGTGAATTACTTGCATTTAAAGTATAATAATTCAATACAACTTAAATTAATTAAAAAGAAATAAACTTTTCATAATATACTGTATAAATTTTTATAGTCAAACTTATTATTATTATTTTGAAAGAATTATTTTACCATTTCTGGCACTGCATGTAATTTCACTGTAACTTCTGTTATAAAACCTAAAGTCCCTTCTGATCCAATAAATAAATCTGTTAAGTTATATCCAGCAGATGATTTTCTATAAAAAAAAAAACATTTAATTTATAATATATGATTTACACTGATATTTTAATAAAATGTTTATTGCTTTATTTAATACCACATACAAATTTATTTCAGAGTATTAAAATAATTAAAAGACATTCTATCCTGAATTTTACATTTTCAATATCCATATGAAGAAGCTAACTACAATAGAAAAATGTTCTTGCTGCCTCAGTCATGCATACAATATGGTAAATATTGTATGCATGACTGAGGCAGCAAAGGCCATCCTGCTGCACTGGAAAATCTTAGACAACAGTCTAGATTGGCTGGGTAGGTATTTTATGTTTTTTATGTTTGTAACACAATTTATGTTTGTAACTTACTTCATTTTTTGATTTAATCCATCCAGACCCATCCAGATATGTTGGGTTCTAAGCTTCACCAACTAGGCACTCCATTATGATCCTGGGCAATCTATGAAGTATGTCTTAGTGCCCATAGGATGAATTGAATCAAAAAATGAAGTAAGTTACAAACATAAATTGCCAATTCACTATCTTTTTTTTTATATAATTTTACTTGTGTAAAATTTGCTCTAATTAGCAGAATAGAAAAACTGATTTAAAAATTTCCTTGCTCTCAAAACATAAAAGTTTTTCATTATTTAAAAAAATTTTCAATTTCATTTTCATTTTGACTGTACTTCATGCTATTAATGTGCTTTGAAAATTCCACATAATTTTATTATATTGACATTTTATTATTTATATACAATAATTTAATTAGCATTTTATTATTTATATACAATAATTTAATTAGCATTTTGTATGTCCTGAAATTTTAATTTAATATCAGAATGGCTACCAAAAATGGATCAAAAAAATTCTGACTTTTCCAGGTTTTTAAACCGAGAATTCGGATTTTTCCCTGACTATCTACTTTCATCTGCATTTTTCAGAAACCAAAATATCAGGCTATGTTTTACAGTGTAACATACATGTAACAATTATAAAGAATGAAATTTCAATAAATAAAGCACCAATAAATTTTTCTTATTCTAAAACTCATAGTTTTGTCTTTATCACTTACTAAAGTAACAGAAAGAGAAATATACTACTATTTATCAGAGTCAAACAAACAAATAAAATTTAGGGAGTGAATTGGGTGGAATTGGTGCAACATTTGGTAATAATTCTAACAATGAGTTTAAAATCCTATTTATATAATGTTTTATAATTTACAGTTAGTCAACAAATATTTATAACAAACTACTTTGGTATAAATATCCTCCATTATAGAATGTTTGTGCAATGTTCTTTTTCTACAAGAAAGTTGGAAACCTATCTCTATTAATCATAGACTACAAAAGATATTCTCCATTTAAAGCTATTATGATTCTTTTAAAATCAGTTAATTCTTTCATAATCAATTCAATTCAAAATCATTCTTTCATAATTTTGTGTGTTCAGTTCTTTAAAACACTTTCAAGTAAAGCACCAATGTGGTAGTTCGTTGTGAGAGACGTATACAAATCTGCAAACGAAAAGTTACAAAAAGAAAGATACAAAATTCAATTATATCACACAGTATTCTTTATTCTCTCTGAACTGGTTCTTTTCCTTTCTTTTTTTCAGAAACCAACTTTACAAACTTTATGCCTTTCTTCTATACACAAAGAAAAAGGAACAGGCTTGCCCTCTACTATTGCCTGGGTTCGTACACGGGACAACTGTCAAAATAACAAAAAAAAACTAATTATATAACTAACTTACGTCTAACTTATATCTATCTTATAACTAATGAAAAATAAGAGTACAGGACAGATGGATACGGAAACAAAATGTAGGGAGAATGGAAATAACCAGGATTTATTTTGGTACGTATATATGCTTTCGGATTATGGCGCCAACTTGATATCTTTCGCTCTAAAGTCTATACAGCTACTTCTCAATATCGAAAAATTGTTGTCTTCCGTTGGATTATTCGTTGTCCTTACGGCCTTTTTTCCGAAGCCATCTCTTTTCTTTCTTGCCAATCCTTAACCTTAACTTCAGGTCACGAGCTCTCGCTTTTCCCCTCTGCTTTCTTCGGGATCTTAACCCAGAATGACTCGTTTTTTTGTCCATTTTGCGCCAGGGCCCCACTTCCTCTTTTGTTCTTATTTACATGGAAAAGATAATCCTACCCCAGGGGCAAAAGGGGTAGATAAGAAGGTCTTAGAAGGAACAAAGAAACAGGAAGGAAGGCTAGGATTAAATCAAAAATAAAATATAGAAAATATTAAAATATACAATATTATGGCCAACGGCCACACCAACTCAACACTTTCAATTTCTTATTGGCTGTAGCTAAGTGCTAACATTTTCACTCTTTCAATATTAGATATTAGTTACTTATTAGCAGCATGATACTCTACATCAGCTTTTGTGAATCACATCTATGACAAATCGCTAAACTGTAACTTTAAAATTATTGTTAGTGCCCAACTTTGTAAGTAATGTTACTTTTATAAATTCAGCTGTGAGACAACCCCTAAAATTTTCAATTAATTTCATAAAAAAACTCTAGCATTTCTTTCAATTAATTCAAATAATGTATCATTAAGTTATTTATCTTTTGAATTAAAGATAAAATAATTTTTATATGCAAGTTTTGAAATAAAGTTCGTATGGTGCGAGAAAATATTATACTCAAAATATTGAATTGTGTACAATTTTTAAATGATCTTTTCAAAAATTGTGTTAATCATAACTAAATATTAGTTTTCATTTATTTCTATTTGATATTACCTAAAGAATAAATATAAAATGAAATAAAAAATAAATCTAAACTGTTGAATCTTTCAATCCTTTGAAAATTAACAGCATAGTATTTCAGAATGAAATTTTTAACAACTAATTATTTTCATAACCATATGCAGTGCTATTGTGATTCATTCATAGTTGCATTCCTAATTGAGATGCTAAAAATTAAGATTCATTCTGTGTATATATTCAGAATATTTTATTCCATAATGTATAAAAATCAGTGAGGCAATTCTATAAACACATAAGTTAATGAGTTAAAATTATAAGAAACTTTAAGCAGACCATCTTTCCTATTTGTTTATCCATTTCATTAACAGATATACATTTGTTTCTAATGGATAATAATATATTTATTTCATTTATGAGGAATATATAAAAATGAGCAAAATTACTCCATAATTGGTTAAACAACAACTCAATGATATAATTTAAATTAGCTGAATAGTCGCCTGCAGTCAACAAGAAAAGTAAATCACAATCTTAATGAATATGATGTCTCAACATCAAACAAAGCTAATACATACAACTAGTATCTAGTAGCTTTAGCATCAGATTTGATGTAATCTGGTGAAACCAGAACAAATTTAAATTTTGGCCAAACCTAAATTCTGCTTAGCCCAAGTCACTAAGATAAACTTTATACAATATATTAAAAAAATAGCCATATACATCATTATATTTCTACACCTGGTAAATTTACTGATACAAAAAATTATTCTGTAACTAATTTTGTATAATTTTTGTATTATTTTCTAGACACAATGTGTCATATATTTCACTAAGATATAATTTAACTATTACTGTAAGTTACTAAACAAATTTAGGGTGAAAAAATCAAATTTTACAACACTGCTAGCATATTCAGTACATCTATCTATTGAACATGCTGGTACGTGAGAACTGGCAGAGAACAAGCAGCAATATGAAAGTCATTTGATTAATCAGCTCCCTGCAAATGATAGCAAATTTACACCAAAAACATTTATATCCAGTGGCATGCCGTCCTTGAAAGCAGTGGAAGCACCACTTCCCTTGTATTTTCTAAAATATAAAGACATAGTATGCAATTATTTTCATATTTTAATGTACTTTGAATTAATTATAATTAATATTTTATTATAACTGCATTATGTATCTTATTACAAATTTCTATACTATATTAAGAAAAAAAGATAAGATTGCTATTGTATATTCAAATGTCAGTGGCGGAATGGAAGCACTGTATTGTCAAAACCGGGTCAGCTTCCAAGCAGCCAGATTATAGGCATTTGCACATGCACTTTACAGAGCATCAACCTCACGCATTTTAGCTGGTGGAAGCTACATACCAAAATGCTTCCAATGATTCTATCCAGGACTGGTTCTGGGCTGTTAGCTGCCCTTGCCCCATTATGTGAATCACAAGTAGATTTATAACTTAACCCAACCGATAAGAATTTACTGGTATGTTTTTATGATATTTCTGTATAGTTGACAGGAGTTTTAAAAAATCCATTAAAATATTTGATATATATATTCTGCTTTTATTCTGATTTAGTATGTTCCATCTATAAGGGGATGCAGAAAAAACGTGTACAATTCTTGTACAACGTTAAAAAATTAACTGTTACTTTGGCAGCATCATTTACGACTAAATTTAATGAATGAGATGCACAAGGTACAGAAAAAAGCCCTAGAATTTATATTCTTTAAATTTACGATTTATGTATCGTTGTCATAAAAATTTGTCTTTCCACTTCTTTCCCAAGACTACAAATATTCAAGTATAAAGTAACCAGTTTCAACTTATTTCTACTTAAGAAGTAGTTAAATAATTAAGAGATTAGGGAATTAGGGACCTAAATAAAGCCCTGATGAAAGAGCCAAAATTTTACTTAAACAAAAGCTTAACTGAACCAATCACTAGCCAAGTACAGTGGGGACTGATTTCTTCGAAATATTAGATGTAATAAAGACAGAAATTTTTCCAATTCAATGAGAGTGACAAAAAAGTTATAAATTTTGGAAATTTTCATGGACACCTGGTCCTAAAATGAATTAGTTAGAAAACAAATGACAGACAATCTATTAAGCTTAACATATGTAGATTTTTATAGCTATGGTGAGAAACGTTTAAAATTAAAAACAAGAACCCTGTCGCCTCCTTTGAGGTATATTAATGATGCGACAAAAAAGGCATTTGACATTGACCAGTATTGGCTCCCTCGGGATTTGGCAGTCCACATGTATGCACACACTACAACTGTCTCTGATTCCATCCATTAGCCATTCATAGGGAGCTATTTGACTAAGTGGATTGTTTTAAGATTTAAAAAGTAAAGAATATTTAATGTTATTTTTATGTACATTTCTTTACAAAGCTATATTTAATATAACTTTCTTTAAAAGAATATTGATACAATTAAAGAATATTTTGTACCAGGTATATATATCCACCACACATTTTATTTTACCAAGTAAGTTTTTATAATTTTATTTTTAATTTTAGTCCTTATATCATGGCTAGCGATTCAAAATGTAATTGTGATATTGAAAATTTATTTTATAAAATTTTGGACCATATAATGAAAAAGAAAATATTATTAAAAGAGAAAAAGCAATGCCTAAATTAAATATAAATACTTCAATAAAAAAATTTGTTGGATATTTTCACGATAAAATTTATGAAGACAAAATGATTTTGTGAATGCATAGAAATGCAAAAATTGTTTTGTTGGCCTTGCTTACTATTTTCAAATAAAATTAGTGTGTGGAATAAGAATGGCTTTGATGATTTAAATAATTTGGGTAAAGCTGGCAAAAGACATGAAAATCGTAAATGTCACATCAATTCTTTAGTAAAATTAAAGAAATTTGGAAATCAAAGCAGAATAGAATTTAACATTAGTAAATAATATAAAATAAATATTGAAAATTATAATTACGGCTAATAGATATATTATAAATAGATGTTATATGTTTTTTTATCAAAACGAGAATTGGCATTTAGAGGGCATAGGGAATCAATTTATCTAATAACAGAGGTAATTATATTGAACTTGTTTATTTATTAAGTACGTCAGATAATCTATTAAAAATACATTTAAAGAAGTGTACGGTTTTTACTGGCTTTTACTGAACAAATGAATACGAATGGACCCTGATGCTCAATTAACTGATTGCCCCTGTAAGTAGGCTTCTTACAGAAATACAGCTTCCCTATCATCAAATGTCACAGTATGCCACTGGTTATACTGTATGTCTTCAATGAATGTTAGGAAGAATAAGAGTAATGTACCACAAATATGAACATTTTCCAGGTATTTNCTTTCTTTAAAAGTATATTGATACAATTAAAGAATATTTTGTACCAGGTATATATATCCACCACACATTTTATTTTACCAAGTAAGTTTTTATAATTTTATTTTTAATTTTAGTCCTTATATCATGGCTAGCGATTCAAAATGTAATTGTGATATTGAAAATTTATTTTATAAAATTTTGGACCATATAATGAAAAAGAAAATATTATTAAAAGAGAAAAAGCAATGCCTAAATTAAATATAAATACTTCAATAAAAAAATTTGTTGGATATTTTCACGATAAAATTTATGAAGACAAAATGATTTTGTGAATGCATAGAAATGCAAAAATTGTTTTGTTGGCCTTGCTTACTATTTTCAAATAAAATTAGTGTGTGGAATAAGAATGGCTTTGATGATTTAAATAATTTGGGTAAAGCTGGCAAAAGACATGAAAATCGTAAATGTCACATCAATTCTTTAGTAAAATTAAAGAAATTTGGAAATCAAAGCAGAATAGAATTTAACATTAGTAAATAATATAAAATAAATATTGAAAATTATAATTACGGCTAATAGATATATTATAAATAGATGTTATATGTTTTTTTATCAAAACGAGAATTGGCATTTAGAGGGCATAGGGAATCAATTTATCTAATAACAGAGGTAATTATATTGAACTTGTTTATTTATTAAGTACGTCAGATAATCTATTAAAAATACATTTAAAGAAGTGTACGGTTTTTACTGGCTTTTACTGAACAAATGAATACGAATGGACCCTGATGCTCAATTAACTGATTGCCCCTGTAAGTAGGCTTCTTACAGAAATACAGCTTCCCTATCATCAAATGTCACAGTATGCCACTGGTTATACTGTATGTCTTCAATGAATGTTAGGAAGAATAAGAGTAATGTACCACAAATATGAACATTTTCCAGGTATTTTAAAATAATATCCTGATTTTTCCCTGACTATGTAAAATGCCTTGACTTTTCCCCATTTCCAGACCCTGTCACCACCCTGAATATATATAATATTAGCAAAATATAGTCATCTAATTATTCTGAAATATTAAACAATATATAAATAATAAAAATAAAATAGACTTCAATAATTATATAATTTGTACTTGTATACTTATTATTTTAATAAAGTAATTAAAAAGTACAAATTAATTTTATATTTATTGATAATTCATAGAATTTGTTATAAAAATTATATTATATGAAATTACTATTATATAAATGATTATTTAAAGCTTTAATAATTTGATATTAAATATTTAAATATCTATTAGATAACAATATATTTATTAATAAATGTATTAATAAGCTTTTTAAACTGGAGTAAAGTATAAATCTAGAGTTCTAGCCCATTCCAGAAACAATTTTTATTCACCAAATATTTGTGGCTATCTGAGTAGCCATCCTCAGGATCAAATACCAATCAGGAACATTAGTGTAATGAAATCCTTTTATTCTTTTATTTCTTCTAAATTTCTTTCAATTTTAGAATTCTTTTAAACTCTGAAATTTTTAGGAATTCTATTACATTAATGTTCAATCCTGAAGATGACTACTCAGACATCCAAAAATATTTGATAAATAAAAAGTTGTCACTGAAATGGGCTAGAACTCTTTATATTAATAAGTATAAAAGTTTCTATTAATATGCTGTATTTGTATCAGTCCAAAATATTTAAGATTATTACTAACAAAATACCAATCCAATAATAAATAAGTTAATAACTAGCTTCTTAATTATTGGTTTGCTGTTTTTGTAGTGATTGAATATCATGGAGTTTCTATTTTATTTAACTGTTTAAATAATTAATAATAATATTTTCAATTTTTAAAATATTGTTATATTTCATTTTATTTTTATTAAAGCCAAAAGTTTTGTTCTGTAAATCTATTGAATAATTTTTTAATCACCTTGATCTCCGATTTTTTCCAGCAGTATGGAATATGGTGCCATCAGACAAAACTATCTCTAAATTTATGACATTTTGTTTCATTGTACCATAACGAACTGTATTTGTTCCTGAAGCACCAGTGCTAGTCATACCACCCAACGAAGCATCTGCTCCTGGATCTAAACAAAAATTAATGAAAGAAATTCTTAAAATCAATTTAAAATCATTATCACTTCTTTTGAAATAATCTGAACATTCATAAATTACTTAATTTTAAAATTATAATAAAAATAATATAAATAACACAGATGATAAATGAAACAAAAAGATATTAAATATTGAAATATCTTGGATTTATTAATTAACCTCAAAACAGAGGAGATGCAAACAAAGGTATACAGAAAAGTAGAACTGTTCATTCAATATCAGAGGTATTGAATGAACAGTGCAACAAAGTGTCGATGCAAGAAACTATGGCTGTGCTACAGACCACCAAATTCAAAACTAGCCAGTTTTCTGGTAATTATGAATTTCTGAAAGCTTGATAATTGATCCATCATTGTATAATATATAATAACATATTACATAATAAACATACAGTGGGTGATCGGTTAATAAACAGTTCAGACTGTGGACAATGAACACTTTCGCGAAAGATTTTTATGTTCGGACAACAAACACATGTTCGGATAATGAACACCTGATAGAACAAACACAAGAAGCAACACTGCATTTAAGATTTGTAAACTATATTTTAATGGCATCTATACATGGTTTATGAAACAAGACTTTCACAGTTGTTTACATAATCTTTTTTGCACTAGTTAATTTCTGTTCTCTGAATTTTTGTAAGTGCTTTTCTGAATTTTTTATTTAAAAAACTGATAATATTATGGGGCCTAAAAAGAGTGGAGTGTCAAGAACTGTGTTGTAACTGATCTGTTGTAACTTGATCTGGGTGTCAAAGTCAAAGGTGGAAATTCCAACATACTTTCATTTGTCTGACAGAGTCTTTGTGTAGTCGTCAGCCCAGTCAGTTGTATCCGAGAATGAATAAAGTTAATTGTTAATTAACTACATGTTTTTATATGAAACAGTATCAGAAACAAAATCAATATAAAACTGGCAACAAGGATTAAAAGAGAGACTTATCTCACCAACAGAAATTACAATTTGAGATCAAAAGCCAGAAATGTCGATCCCAGGAACATCATCCAGTGGAGTTCATTTCAAACCATTCAAGATGACAAAACTTATAAAGACCACTTTAATTTTTGCTTGAAGACAAACCAAATTAAAAATGACCAAGATAAGTGTGCTCTATATTTTATTGTGTGTGGTGAAACTCTATATAAACTTGTAGTAACACTCATAGCCCCAAAAGAAACAAAATTAACTTCAATGAAACACTTAATGCTCTTGATAGCCATTTTAACCCAAAACCTAGTGAAATCATTGAATCGTTCAAATTTAACCACAGGTCACAAAAAATGGGAGAGAGTATCAATAACTATGTCATAGAACTATGGAAAATTGCAATGAATTGCAACTTCAGTGCCTCACTAGAGCATACATTAGGCTAGTGGCTGGTTTAAGGGATAAAGGAATACAATACATGATATTGGCAAACAAAACTACTTATAAGGCCATTTGGGATGCCACATTGGCAGCAGAAGCAGCATCTAAAGATGTTAGCCAGCTTGGGTCAAACAGAAACAACACCCAAATATATAACTTAAAGGCAGACTACAAGAGAAATAATGATCCAGCCTTATTATGCTGTTTTCAGTGCACCGGGAATCATAACACAAATAATTGCCAATTTGCTCAGATAATCTGTAAATTCTGCAGAAACAAAGGTCATATAGAAAAAGCATGTATCACGAAACAAAAGAGTGGAAGAAGAAAAATTCCAAACCAGAGAAGAAACCAACTTGAGGCACAACAGAAAGAGGTATCCAGACAGAGAACCAGAGTACACCAAATTGCGAAACATAAAAATTTGACATCGAACCAGGTAGAGGAATATACATCTCTATTCCAAATACGTAGAAGTAGGATACCACCCTTAAAAATCTTAATCAATATTGAAAATATACCAGTCATGATGAAAATTGATTCAGGGGCTGGGTACACTGTAGTGAGAGAATGGACCTTAAAAGAAATTAAAATACAGCAGTGGCATGCCATCCTTGGAAGTGGTGGAAGCACTGCTTCCCTTGTATTTTGTAAAATATGAAAATAATTGCACAATACGTATTTCTATTTGAACGTATCTTATTACAAATTTCTATACTACATGTGAAGAAAAAAAACGATAAGATTGCTATTGTATATTCGAATATACAATAGCAATCTTATAATGTGAACCACGAGCAGATTTATAACTTAACCAGTGGCATGTCGTCTTTGGAAGCGGTGGAAGTGCTGCTTCCCTTGCATTTTCTAAAATATACATACATATTGTGCAATTATTTTCATATTTTAACGTACTTTAAATTAATTAAAATTAATATTTTATTATAACCCGCATTATGTATCTTATTACAAATTTTTATACTACATGTGAAAAAAACGATAAGATTGCTATTATATATTCGAATATCAGTGGCAGAATGAATGAATAAATCACGAGTACATTTATAACTTAACCCACTGATAAGAGTTTACTTGTATGTTTTTATAATAGTCCTGTATAGTTGACAGGAGTTTTAAAAAAACCATTAAAATATTTGACATATTTATTCTGCTCTCCCATCTTGTATTACTTACAGATTTCAATGTTAATGTTAATGTAAATATTATGATTCAGTATGTCCCATCTAAGGGGATGCAAAAAAAAACGTGTACAATTCTTGTACAATGTTAAAAAAATGAACTGTTACTTTGGCAACATCATTTACAACCGAATAAGATGCACAAGATACAAAAACCTCTCAAATTTATTTTCCTTAAATTTACGATTTATATATCCGTTGTCATAAAAATTTGTCTTTCCACTTCTTTCCCAAGACTACAAATATTCAAGTATAAAGTAACCAGTTTCAACTTATTTCTACTTAAGAAGTAGTTAAATAATTAAGAGATTAGGGAATTAGGGACCTAAATAAAGCCCTGATGAAAGAGCCGAAATTTTACTTAAACAAAAGCTTAACTGAACCAATCGCTAGCCAAGTACAGTGGGGACTGATTTCTTCATAATATTAGGTAATAAACACAGAAATTTTTCCAGTTCAATGAGAGTGACCAAAAAGTTGTAAATTTTGGAAATTTCCATGGACATCTGGCCGTAAAATGAATTAGTTAGAAAACAAATGACAGACAATCTATTAAGTTTAACATATGTAAATTTTTACAGCTATGGTGAGAAACATTTAAATGTACAACAACCCTGTTGCATCCTTTGAGGTATACTAGTGATGCAAGAAAAGAGGCATTTGACATTGACTAGTATCGGCATCATTGGTATTTGGCAGCCCACATGCATGCACCTACCAGGACCATCTCTGATTCCATCCATTAGCAACTCATCACTATTTCACTTAGTCAAATAGTGAGCCACTATTTGACTAAGTGAATTAATGAATTGTTTAAGATTTAAAAAGTAAAGAATATTTTATGTTATTTTTATGTACGTTTCTTTACAAAGCTATATTTAATTATAATTTTCTTTAAAAGTATATTCACACAATTGAAGAATATTTTGTACCAGGCATGTACTGTACATCTACCACACATTTTATTTCGCCGAGTAAGTTTTTATTATTTTATTTATAATTTTAGCTCTTATATCATGGCTAGCGATTCAGAATGTAATTGTGATATTAAAAATACATTTAGAGAAGTCTACTGTTTTTACTGGCTTATTGAACAAATGAATACAAATAAACCTTAGACCATCACTGATGCGCAATTAACTGATTGCCCTTGGAAGTTGGCTTCTTACAGAAACACAGCTTCCCTATCATCAAATGTCACAGCACACCACTGAAATACAGTGAAACAGGTTAGAACCGAAAGAAGTCAAATTACAGACATGGTCGGATCAGAATCTGGAGATAGTGGGCACTGCAATGGTGAGGGTGCAATTTAAAGGAAAGTTATGAATCTGCCATTGTTAGTAATTAAAAGAAATGGACCAGGACTTGTTGGAAGAAATTGATTTGAACATTAGGAATCAGAATAGAGGGACTATATCGCCAATATGATGCAGACAATCTGATGCAAGAATTCCAGCATTTATTCAATAATTCAGAAATGGGTTTATTTAGAGGCGAGGCAATCAGTTTAGCAATAAATAAAGAAGCAAAGCCTATTTTTATGAAAGCAAGACAGGTTCCTTTTGCATTGAGAACAAAGGTAGAACAAGAGTTGAATCAACTTCTTCAGTTAGGAGTTATAGAACCAGTTAGAACTTCCAAGTGAGCCACTCCTGTGGTACACGTTGCAAAACCAGATGGAAGTGTACGTTTATGTGGAGATTACCATTGCACTATAAACAGAAGCAATAAAAGTAGATGTATACCCATTGCCAGCCATTAACAATATACTTGCTTCATTATCTGGTGGAAAGGTATTTGCCAAGCTCGATTTCAAGGAAGCTTACTTCCAATTTCCTGTGGACCAGGAGTCATCTGAGATACTGACTATCAACACATGCAAGGGTTTATATAGAATGAAAAGATTACCATTTGGAGTGAGTAGTTGTCCAGCTATTTGCCACAGAGAGATGGAAAAAATCGTAGGAGGTATTCCAGGGACAATTGTGATGATAGATGATATACTCAATGAAGAAGCCCTACATCAAAAGTTGAGGAAAATTCTTAACTGGATTTCAGAAGCTGGACTAAAACTGAACAAAAGCAAATGCCTATTCAAGACAAATCAACTTAAATTTTTAGGATATTTGATAGATGCTCAGGGCATTCAACCCACACCAGATAAAAGTGCAGCAATCCAATGGGTACAGGATCTGAAAAACAAGCAAGAATTACAGGCATTTTTGGGATTTGTAAACTTCTATGATAGATTTTTGAAAGATAAAGCAACCGAAGCTGAATCATTATAAAGACTCCTAGATAAGAACATAGCAAAGAATTCAGGAAAATAAAAAAATGCTAACACCAGAAACATTATTAATCCATTATGATTTAAATAAACCAGTATTGTTGTCATGTGATGCTTCACCATATGAAGTTGGAGCAGTACTTTCACACATATTACCAGGTGGATCAGAAGTTCATATATACTTTGCATTGAGGACACTCCACCCAGCAGAAAGAAATTATTCACAATTCAAGAGAGAAGTATTATCTATAATCTTTGGCATTACAAAATTCCATAATTACCTAACTGCCCAAAATTTTACAATATATACGGATTGTAAGCCAGTTGTGGGCCTTCTGAACCCTGCTAAACCAATTTCTGATTTAATTTCATCCAGAATGATCCGTTGGTGTTTGAGATTAGCAGTATACTTATATAAGATTGAACATCGTCAGTCAGCAGAGATGACTAATGTTGATGCATTATCTCATATACCAACTACTGTGGAAGACAAGACTATCCCTGAACCAGGAGAGATATTCCTTATATTTGAACACCATCTTTTGCCCATTTTCTACCTTGGCTATTATCTCTTGCTTAGTTTCTATAGTGAACACAGTTTTTTATATCAATTTTGTTTTCGACACTGTTTCACATAAAAACACGTAATTAACATAGTAAGAAAGTATATAATTATTTTTATTTTTTGAGGTCTCCAGAACAAATTAATCAAATTTCCACAAAAATCTATGGTAAATCGATAATCAGTTAACGAACAATTTGGATAGTGAACATGGTCTTGGAACAGATTATGTTCATTAACTGATCGCTCACTGTAGTGTAAATTAAAAATAACTAACAATATAAAATAGTTTTGGAATGAAAAAAATGAGTTATGTTTTTCCTTATAATTTATAAAAACACAAAAATATAAATATATAAAATTTCAATTTCCTATATATTATTTCAAAGTAAAGAATTGAAAATTTTTAAGATGTGTAGAAGTTTCTCAAGACTGAATTTACATGAACAAGCAATGGATATATTTCATTGAATACAATGAAACTAAGGTAACTATCTTAACTTTAGTTATTTCTTATTTTAGAATGTATTACTATATTTAAAAATAATAACACTAAAATATTTACCAACAGTAAACCAGAGTCCTGTTTGTTTTAAATAATCATTTAAAGTTCTCCATGTCACTCCTGATTGTACTTTAGCATCAAAATCTTCTAAATTTGTCTCCAGAATTTGATCCATTTTTGAAAAATCAATGCAAACTCCACCCTAAATATGTATTATAATAATGCATACTTTAAATATATTTTATTTAACATGAAATAAATATTTTATTAGATATTAATCATTTTAAAATTTAAACAAAGATATTGAAGTTAAATTAATGTAACTTTGTTTTAGAATTGATATTTGCATATAAAAAAAAAAATTTATTTATTCTAAATTTTAATAAATGCTAGAAAAATACTACATAAAAATATAAATTAATTAATATTTTTATATAGTACTATATAATATATGATATAACCATAACCGAGTTTTTATTGTTTTAGTTCAATAAAACAATAAAAACTATAAGTACAGCAATTATGATTTAAGAGATCTTTTAAAATACAAAAACAAAATTATCCTGATGTACATAACAAAAATAAAAACATAAAAAATAATAATAATGATAAATTAATCTTTAAATTAAACTTTAACTAAATCTTACTCAATACAAAAATTTTAGATTATAAAATCTTGGCATTTTGAATAAAAATTTCAAAGCATTTGAAATTTTTATTCAAAATGACTTTCAAGCTTTCATATTTCTCATATTTGAAAAAATAGACAATTTATTTTAAACATTTCAGGAATTAAAAACAAAAATACTATAGCTACTAAAGAATAGTAACTTATAAAGTAACCAGTT